AATTGTTTATTATGTGGTACGTACCGCAATGGATCGACGACATAGGTTCCGTTTAGATGAAGCTGACGAAAGACGTTGACTTGATAGGCCAGGCAGGGCCTGTCAACAGTCTTCGCTGTTGAACGAATGGTCAGGTCCGTCCGGGGAAGTACCAACACCTCACAGAAGACCGGCGTGAAGTGGAAGTGTAATACTTCTTCTTTTCGTCTGGCGAGTGAGGTGATCGAGGCCTACCGTATTGAAAGTTGGCAACGCATCCACAACCCTACGGATGCTGCAGATGTCCACGGGGCAACGGTTATCGCTTAACATCAGGTAAACCGCCAACTAGCTTGCCACCTCTATTCTTTTTCGATCTTTTTTAAAGAAGTAGAATGTTAGTTACTTCAAAATGAGCGTTTCAGGTTAATTTATGCAGCCCCGACTTTCCTTCTATACACCGATACTTAAAGTCCTATCTAGCACGTGCATCGTCGAGAGTGCAGACCCCCCCCCCCCTCTCCTTACAAAGGCATCGCGCCTTTGGACCCAGTCCAACTTTAGACCACTAATGCTTCGTTGCATGTAACGACTAGGGGGATTTAAAACACTCTTAAGCTTCAGCTGTTTGCTCAGTTGTTGCATAAATGTGTGTTTATGCACAAACTCGGCAAAAGTGAACTGTTCTCTAAGAAATACACACTTTAAATGACTTCAAAAGTTGTCTCAAAAAATTGGGTAATTGGAAACATATCGTCACAGTCTCCCCACTTCGAAAATATTGCGAGTCAATAACAAAAGAACTAGCCACTTAAAAATCTTTAAAATTCTTATATCGGTACCGATGTTAAAATAAGCAAGTGACCCTAATTTTGTTTTGACTAGAATATTTTCTTTTCCCATACCGTAGAATTATATTATAGCGTGATTTAATGGCGTGGTTTCACATACGTCAAATACTCTAAGCCAACCCTAAGATCTAGAACAATTAATTACCTGTACTTCATACACAATCGTTCAGTGTGGGAATCGATCCCACGTCCTTCGGTGCAGAAGCCAATGGCTGGTAAACTGAGTCATCAACGTTTTTCTGTTCAATTACTTCAGTTTATAACGATCGTTATTATACAATATAGATAGTTCAGTAGTAAATTTTATGGTTTATCCACGATTTCAGTAACTATTTCGTGCCACAAAACAATTTCAATGTAAAAAGGTGTATTAATATATATTTATATTAATACACATTTGGATATATAATTGTCGATCTCGATTGTGAAAAGACGGAGTAATCACAACTGTTGCCTTAACGGTATAACATCTTTTTATACATATATAAGATAATATATTTTTATGTATGTTTATCAAAAACTCGAGAACCGTTAGCCCAATTGATATGAAACAGCACATATACATAGGGCGACATGACAACCCCGATGAACATAGAAACGTTAGTGTCGGATAGATGGCGCTGGTGGCAGTGATTTTTACCATTTGGACATAGGTCGAATTGATATAAGGTCACACGTAAGATTTTTCTAGGTGATACGAAGCTCACGGGGTACCAGGTAGTATATTTCTTATGAATTGCTAAGTAGTAAAAAAAAATCAAAAATATATTTATTCAAATAGACGCTTGCGCGCTCTTATGAATCGTCAAATTTTACATCAAAAATTATGTATACAGGTTCGTAAGGTACCACGTAGTAGACAGGATAGAAGAAAGAAGACTTTATAGATACCATCAAAAGAATCAACCACTCATTTAATATCCATTTAATTCTGTAGCCACGAGAGCCACTTTTAATTTTTGAAAAGAACACGATTTCCAGATGTCCGAAGACGTTTTCTCGTCTACTCATAAAGAAGAATGTTGTCGAGGCTGATTTGTACAAAAGCGAGGGTTGTTTTTACTGTGGTAGGGCCACGCAAAGGCCTCGGCTGTTGCACAAATGGGCAGTTCTGTCCGGGTAAGTACCACGACCTCACGGAAGACGGCGTGAAGAGAAAGCTTTATACTTCTGCGTTTCGTCTGGTGAGTGAGGTAACGACAGCCCACTTAATTAAAAGGTAACGCATCTGCAACCCTGCGGGTCTTGAAAATGTCCACTTCAAATTAGGTGCCTGCCAGCTCTCTTGCCACCTTCTAACATAAAAAAATGCAAATTTTCTACTGCCACGTTTAAAACGACATTCAAACAATTTCACACTGGCGAAGCCACGTATAAGTGAAGCCTTCTCGGGTTGCGTTAGGCTTTGATCTTTCATCAAAGCAACCCTTGTTAATGCGCCTCGCTATTAATAGAGCTCAGTGTCAAAGGAAATACGACGTTACTGTTTAGAGATTTAAGCAGCTGTAACTGTGTTGTGTTGAGTGCTTAGCAACAATGCATCTAGAACTGCCTCCAATCTTATTTTAAATTATAAATAATTAAACAGTTTTAAAAAAATAAAAAAAAAATATGTGTGCACGTAAGAAGTTACACAACTTTCGCGTAACAAAAGAAAAATTGCAAAATTGCTAATGCTTTAATAAAATAACTTGGAGCAAAAATTTCTGATTATGGTAACACCGTGAAGATTTTAGATGTCGGGCACCGTGACAATTCACTCAATTATTTTTCCCAAACACGCTGAAAGAAGTATAAATTCAAAAATACATTTCTAAATTATCGACGATGGGGTATTCTACACATAGGCAATGGCGAATACTTTCCTAAGCTTTCATCTAATTTAACTGTGATATATTTTATTTATATGCCCTTGAGATTGGAAGGGACCCGAATGTAAGGCCTCTCATCTCCACTCAAAATAACCCGACCCCAGGCCACCTTCATATTAAATATTAAATTGATTTTTTTGTATGTCTGTAACGGAATCTACGAACGTGATTTTGACCTACTTCAAAAAGAATTAAATTTAAACTTTACACATTTATCAAGGACCGATGACAAAGCAAACAATTTAAATAGTTTGTCCCATCTTGATCAGGGCCTTTAGGATTAGCAATTTTCTAAATGAAATCGATACCTGGTGGTAGCGGCTTTGTGCCAAGTACACGTTTAAAAAATATTAAAAAAATTAAAAAAATTAAAAATTAAACTATAGTAAAAAGTACAAATTAATTTTCAATAAATTTAAATTTAAAGTTATTGAAAATAATTTTCTACTTCTTAGTTCGGTTATCTACAAAAGCGTGTTTTTAGTTTTTTCAAACTATTATTTATTTCATTCGCGTACCAGCAATAAGTTATCGAAATGCTTACATACTTAGACTAGACACATAATCTTTTTAATTTAGTAAAATAAAATTTGGAAATAGTTCACAAATGAAAGCACGATCCTGAACCACCTGCATCCATCAACTTCCCGCACATCTGCACAGGTCGTCACACCATCTAGTGGGTGGTTGTGCTACTTTTCTCCTATGACTGTTGTCGCTGGCAACACTGTATACCGGATATGACGTTATCTACTCGAGCGAAGGGACACGGTCGCATGAAGCAGCGGTCACTTGCTTCTCGGCTGTGTTCCCGGACGGTGATACGAGGGACACACTAAAATGATCGGGAATAGAATATTTCGGATTGAGTTACAATAATACCTTTTTTAGAATTTGAATACTGACCTCTCAGAATCTTAACGACATTCAAACAATAAAAAAAATGTTTAAAAACAAAAATTATGTTGGTTTAAAGTTGACGCGTCGTTAACAGAAATGGAGTTCACGCGTGAACATTTACCGTGCCATAATTTATCACAATTTTCGTCGCGGCTTATCTCAAGATAAATGTCTCAGCGAACCTGTTTCAATTTATGATGTTGAAGTACAGAGTCAAACGATGATATACCGCTGGTATGCCGAGGTCCTACGCGGCCGTGTGTCGCTCAGCACTGTTTCTTCTGCAGGTCTGCATTTACATAACTTCGTCATATATAGACGGATTCGCGAAGTTCTTTTTTGTTCGAAAGGGCTTTATTCCGAATTTTTCATTTCATATAGATCTGACGATGATTTTCGGAGATAGCAACGGAACTATTCGAAATATGACAGGAAATCAATAGCGATTGCTGCTATAGCGTAATTATTGTCTTGCATGTAACGTTGTAATAGTTACGTACATCATTTTATTTGAAGTACAAGTACGGAGTCGGTTATTTTTTTGTTAAAAAACTTTTATATTCATCATCATTATCAATTCACAGCTTTTTTGGGTCCAATGAGTGCTGAACGTAGGACTCCCCCACAGACTGTCACGGACCACGATCCTATTTTTTATCAAAAGTGCCAAAAAGACTGCCTCACAATAGTGCCAGTTTTCAACGGCTGACACGTTTTAAAATTTGCGTAAATATGCATCTCGGAATTGAGTTGCATAATTTGCATATTCATATATCGGTCGTTCAGCGAGCTATGGAGCGGGCTATGCTCGACATTTCCCGGCGTGATAGTCTTCGAAGGTAACCGACATAGCTCAGGAGGCTGGTAGAACCGATAACCGTTGGGGAAGAAAGTTTCACGAGTGGCAGCCTCGTACTGGCCGTCGCTTTGTAGGATGACCCGCCACTAGATGGAGTGACGACCTGTGCAAGTGGGCGGGAAGTAGATGGATGCAGTTAGCTCAGGATCGTGCTTCAGTCAGCAGTCTGTGGTGGAGACCTATGTTCAGCAGTGGACTCAAACAGGGACAAATGATGAATTTCTTTTATTTGAGAAGGTTGCAAGCGAGATGGCGGCTTACCTGATGTTAAGTGATAACCGCCGCCCATAGACATTTGCAACACCCGTATGGCTGTAGATGAGTTGCTACCTTTATAATAAAGTGGGCCCCAGCTACCTCGCTCACTAGACGAAACGCAGAGGTATAACACTTCAGGTTCAGCCGGTATTCTGTGTGGTCGCGGTACTTACCTGGACGGACCTGCCCATACGTGCAACAGAAGATGTTGCGAGGCCCCACGTGGGTGATATGTCGGTATCGATTCACGAACACACATTCAGCATTGGCCGTTTGTTCCAGCAACAATACATGGCACGCGGTGATGCCGCCGAACAACATTGGGAGCAAGATGAACTGTTGTACTCTGGAAGGGACAGCGATGACAGTCCCATACTGTCTTACAGGTCAGTTCTATTCAAAATTGTACACAGTATGACAGTTCATAATTTGATAGTTCACAAGTTATGTACTCTATCTTAGTATATGGTCTTTAGAATATTTTTTTTTATCTAACTTAGTACATTAATGTGATAACACATGTTATTCAATTGTCGTTTTATGCTATAAAGTTTAATTTGTCTCTGTGAGGTCACGTGAAATTTAATAACATGTTCGAATTTAATGTGTAAATTAACCTGTCAATGCCGCAGGTCGACAAGCGTAATTAATTACGTTTTTTACTTTATATTTTAAATGAAGTTTTTCTTTTTTAACTGTGAAGGTGTTTTGAGAAAAGTTTAATGGGCAGTATGGATTACTCTTTATTAAGTTTTTGGTACAAAAAACTATGAATTCTTTATATATATTACCCTAAATATGTACAAGTGTGTTTAATCTTTCCGCTCTGCTTCATTTTGTTTGACGCTAATTAGCGTATGTCAATCAACCGTTATCGATAGAGGGACCATCTGATGTTATTGGTCCCGCCATTTTTAATATTAACCCGTGCGTTTACCTTTAATTAGCAGTTGATATGTATGTCCGTTTGTCCGTCAAACGTGTACTTGTACAACAAACCTGTTCGTCTTTCATTTAACACGTGGACGAATCGATAAGTAAATTTTGAATAATCTCTAATATTCGTAATGTTGTTTATTCGTAATGTTGTTTATTCGTCAAAACGTTCATAGGCCCATTTGCTATTCGGCAAATTCTAATGCTTTCAAAAATAGCTAATGATTTGTAATGCTCACATTTGCGATCGTATCGTTCATATTATTTAACTATGGGGCTTAGGTCCGTTACATCATCATAGTTTTAGTCTGTTAGAGTCCATTGCTGAACATAGGCCTTCCGTAGCACGTAACGCACATAACTTACCGTGGTACAGTTCGCAATGAAGACCGCGGTAGAACAAAAGCTACCGACATAACGTGAGGATTAGAAAGCTGAAGAGAACTGATGGGGAAGATAAGTTCTAGAGTGACAGTATCGTATTGGCCGTTATAGTGTAGGGCGATCCTCCACTGGATCCGTTTAGAAATGAACTAAAACTTATCCGCGTAATTACCTAGCTGACGTCACGGTTTTGCGATTTTACACTGTTGTAAGTAGTCTATATTATTTACAGTCTCTTATGTTATATTGTTAAATAGCGACCCAACCCGGCTTTGCACGGGTGCAATGTATTATACATATAAACGTTTCTCTCGAATCACTCTATCTAGTAAAAAAACCGCATCAGGATCCGTTGATAAAGATCTAACATTGATAAAATTGATAAAATAAAAAATCTAACATCTAAAATTGATAAAGATCTAACCATACATAGGGACAGACAGACAGCGGGACAACTTTGTTTTATACTGTGTAGTGTACTGATGCTCTATGATCATTATTAAAAGAGCATTGTCGTTGATGGGTCATATTTTTATTTTTGTGATAAGTTGACAAACGAGCAGACGGTTCACCTGATATAAATAAATAAATAAATAAGTGAATACCGCCGCCCATAGACATCTGCTACACCCGAGGGTTGCAGATGCGTTGACAACCTTTTGAAAATTGGACTCCGGTCACCTCACTCACCAGACGAAACGCGAAAGTATTATACTTTCACTTTACGCCGGTCTTCTGTGAGGTCGTGGTAGTTACCCGGAGGGGCCTGCCCATTCGTGCAACGGCCGAGGCTGCGGCGTGGCCCTACCACAGTAAAAACATCCCATGTCATTTCGTTAAGTTCTTAATTATTTAAACCACCTTCATCATATTTAACACAGACACGAGAGGTACCGCAGATATGCGCCATACATTCGCGAGGGCAAGACGGAAGACCGAGAGAGGAGGTCCACGTTCAGCGTCCTCGCCAAGTTCTTCCTCTTCAGCACCGCCATGATACTCTTCTGCGTGCTGCTGTATATACCTGTATATAATAGGGCCAATGACCAGGTGCCAAAACGTGAGTTTTTTTTTTTTAATTTTGAAAGTTGGCAAACGTGCGGGCGGTTCATCTGATGTTGACTGATGTTGAGTTATCACCGCAGTCGTTACACATCTAATATGGTTGATTGAGTGGTTGCAAATGCGTTGCCAAGATTAGGAAAGTGGATCTCAGTTAACTCACAACGCGAAAGAATATTACTTCCACTTAACGCCGGCACTCTCCTGTTCGAGAGTGGTACGTTTGTGCAACGTCCGAAGCAGGTGCATGGTCCTGCCACTGAGTTGACTTCTATTTTCGTTTCGATCCAAACATAGGAGCTTATTAATTTGACCTGTGTACTGCCAAGTCAGGTCAATTGCGAATAAATTTGTTCATTCGATCAATTCTGTAAATGAATGCTTGAATTTTCGGAGCCAGAAAATTTTCGTGTTATTGTAGAGTTCGAAATTTTGGAAATTTAGAAACAAGTATTCCTTTGAATCCGAAAGAAATGAGGCCTCAAAACCTCTAAAACAAATTAGTTCGATTTAAGGTCGATATTTATAAACGGAATTTTGTTTGTGTGTCAAGATAGTTACGGTAATGAGTATGGATATTTCAAGGTTTCAGCAAATAGTTTAATTTTCATGTCGTTAAATCAGTAGCGGATAGCTTTCAAAATCCTTTTTCGTGGACTGTGTTTAAAAAAATGCGATTATTCCAAATATCAATTTACTTAAACGCCCCTTTTAAATTTACAGCCGCAGTAGCGGGCTGGTCGATACACACCAATAGGGATACGAAGATATACGTCCAGCCGGAGAACGTGACGACGATCCACGAGCCGAAAGACGTGTGCCCGAAGAGGAACAGGAGGGAGAAGAACAAACTGTTCCTACTCATCGTCGTCTGCTCGTCGACGGTCAACTTCGAGCAGAGGCTGGCGATCAGGGAGACCTGGGGCAACTACGGGAGCTACGTTAAACTGACGCGCCTCTTCCGCGAGGCGGAGGAGCGTTTCAAGAACCTAAACACCAGCCTTGAACTCGAACGGACAGACAACACAACCAGCCCCGAACGGAACAAACGGGACGTAGCCGGCTACGCCCAACTGCTGCCGCAGCTGACCAAGGTGCTGCAGACCAACTTGCTGCACTCCGCAACGGAGGCGCCAGAGGAGAGGCGGTTCGACGACGAGAAGATGCTACCCGAGTTCGACATGAACAAAGTGCTGGGGGAACAAGACGACGATCTAGACTACGAATACGGCGGAAACATAATGAAGATACCGCCAAGGGGATACGAAGACACCCCTGACCTCGGCAGGATAGTTTCCCTGCTGAGGCACATCAAGACCTTCCCGAAGACCGAGCCGGCTGAGGAGACCCCGACCCAGGAGGCCGTATCAGACCCGGACTACAAGCTGGTGTTCCTCCTGGGCCTGCCGCCGAACGAGAACAGCACGGACCTCCAGGACAGGATCGACGCCGAGGCGGAGACGTACTCGGACATAATCCAGGAGGGCTTCGTCGACTCGTACAACAACCTGACCCTGAAGTCCATAATGATGCTCAAGTGGGTGACAAACAACTGCAACGAGAGCGGTAAGTGATGGGATCACACTAAGCAGGAATAGGCATCTCTGTTCGGTTCAATATTGAAGCAAACAGCTTTGTTTGCACTTTTTACCTAAAGTCCATCAATACGTTGTAAGCATTAAAATATACCGCGAGAATCAATCAATTCACGTTCGGTCATCAAGCATGTCACGCGTTCTCAAAATATCATAACTATCATAAATATCATATCATATTATAAGTATCATTTTATATGTATCAATTTAGTAATAAAGTGTTTCATATCAGTATCTAATATCATTTATAACACCATATCCGGTGTTAGGAGTTAGCCCCTACATCGTTTTGTATTGGTTCAATATTGAACCGAACAATCTCTATCGCTGTTTTTGTTATGTTGAAATCTAACTGATGCTTAGCTCCAAATAGCACAGTGTCTCTGTGAAATGATTTGGGTGAGATGCGCGGTAGCTGATGAGTAGTCATGAAATTCGATAGAAGTTGGACTTTAACCATTACGGTTTAAGAACTAAATTCTAGTGGATTTGGGTTTGTAATGTGAACACACTCTTGCGTAGTTGTAAAAGTTTTAAAGGTAACCGTTGTGTTAAATTCTGAATGTTTCTATGAAGGTCTATGCACCCCAAATTAAAATACTTGAGCGGTAATTAAATCCCTCAGTACTCAGTGTAACATATGTAGGTTGATACTTTAATGACGACCCGAATGGCGTTGTGGGTAGTGTACCTGCCTCCTGCGCCAGAGGGTGTGGGTTCGATCCCCACTACTGGAAAAATATTGTGTGATGAGCATGGTGTTTTTCCAGTGTCTGGGTGTTTATATATGTATAATATGTATTTATTTACAAAAGAAATATGTTTAAGTATATTTATCAGTTTTCTAGTACCCACAGTACAAGCTTTGCTTAGTTAGGGACTGGAAAATGTTGTGTAAAAAATGTGTCCTAAATATTTATATATTTATTTATATTTAATGACTCCTCTCTACCCGTCCCCAGTGCGGTACATCTTGAAGACCGACGACGACATGTACATCAACGTGCCCAACCTGGTGTCGACCCTGCGCCGGCGCGCCGCCGCCTTCGACAACGGCGCCAAAGGGGCCGGCGCCAAGGAGTTCCTGCTCCTCGGCGACCTCATCTGCGGCGCGCGCCCTGTCCAGGACTCGAAGAGCAAATGGTGCGTCGCGCGTTTCCATTGTAACGGTAGCGACGATTACATTTTCAAATCCCATCGACTCTGACCGGCCGGACGATACGGGATTTCATTTTAACGGTAATAGCATTAAGCGTGCATTTAATAAAATACCCAATTACATGACAATGCTAGATGACGGACAATTTAAAAAAAAAAGTTATTAATATTGTTAAAAGTAAATAATTTTTACGACATCAAAGAATTTTTAATAAGATTTAATACCTGACATTATTTTAATTAGTTTTAATTTTATTTTTTCAACTCTTTATTATAAATTGTGACATTTAATTTAGAATTGACTGCAGCGGTGTTTTGTAAACTTTATATAAATAGTAAAGTTGATATCAGTAATATTTTGCATGCTATATAAAAATTAGCATAACATGTGGTACAATATTTGTAACACCTTGTGAAACCATATTATAAGCAAATAAGCAAATAAATAAAGCGTGGTTGGGCCACGCAACAGTTTCCGCTGTTGCACTAATGGACATGTCCGTCCGGGGAAGTACCGCGACCTCAGAGCACGGGCGTGATGTGGAAGTGTTATATTTCCTTTTATTACCCGACTGCGCCGGAAGGAGTTTTTCGGAAGGATGTATGCATAGTTGTTTGGCACGCTCTGCAGCCTACGGCTTGGTAGATTTTAGCTTGTGAGGAGTCGTTAGATACGTATTTACTGTGAGAGTGACACTGGATATATCAAAATAAAACAATTACACAAAAACGCAGTCGGGTTTTTTAGTTTTTTTGAATTATATTCTACTTGCTATAAAAGATGGCAAACGAGCTGGCGGTTCACCTGACGCCAAAAGATAACCGTCGCCCATTGATATTTGCAACACGTTTCATCTGGTAAGTGAGGTAACCAGGGCCCACTAGATTGAAATGGTATGTTAGTATGAACGCACGCATAAAGTTGCACTACTATTAAAATGAATTGTTTATTGTCAATGATCTATTTGCCTATACTCTCTATCTCCCAACGCTCTGGCGTGTGACATCTTGTTTGGTTAGCTGTTATAGTTGTTAATCTAATCTAAAATTTTCTAACATTAAATACAGTTAAAATTATGATCAAGGGCTTTATTTATATACAACAGGTTATGGGCCGAGCACTTCTACTGCGTTATTGTAACCATACGGGTGTTGTATATGTGGATGGCGGTTATCGTCAAACATCAGTTGAAACGTCAGCTCGCTTGCCATGTTAGCCTAACGTAGAGCCGTCCGCGCAGGTACAGCCCCCGCTACATGTACCCAGGGCGCGTGTACCCGCGGTACCTGTCGGGAACGGGGTACGTGCTCTCCGCGCCCGCCGCGCACTCGCTCTACGCCGCTGCGCTCACCACCACCTACTTCCACCTCGAGGACATCTACATCACCGGTGGGTGCCACGTCGAGTAGCAGCCCATGCACGTCCCAATGCTGGGCAAAGGCCTTCTTCGTACGGAGGGCATTGGGGCATAGTCCACCACGCGACTTTTGTACCATTTTGAAAGTATGCCGGTTTCCCCACGATGTATTCCTTTACCGCTGACCACGTGATAAGTCAGCACTTAAAATTAAAACTATCGTTGGCGCTGGGATTTCAACGTGCTTTCAAATAAAAAAAAAAGAATTATTAAAATCTGTTCACTCATTCGAAAGTTTTGATGTAACAAACATAGAAAAAGCGCGTGGAAGAAGTTCTAGCTTCGAGTGCCTCTGCTCCGTCCGTTTGCATTCCCCTCCCTAGGAGCGCTGAACGTTTAACCACCTCCGTGGTTGCGTTGAGCGTTCAACGCAACCTAGTCGGAAGTTTGAATTCGAAAAAGGAACGCCCCCTGCGCAGGCATGTGCGCGGCGCGCGCGCTGCCGCGGCTGGTGGCGCGCGACGAGGCGGGCTTCTCGTACCAGCCGGTGCGCGGCGCGGCGGCGTGCGCGGCGCGCGCGCGCATCTCCTCGCACCGCGTGCCGCCGCCGCGCATGCGCCGCGTGCACCGCGCGCTGCTGCGCCCGGACACGCTGAGCGGGTGCGTCGCGTTCCATTTTAGAATTTATTAACACTGTCTTTGGGGTCATTTTCCAATGCGACCTAAGTCGGAAACGCTGAGCGGGTGCGTCGCGTTCCATTTTAGAATTTATGAACACTGTCTTTGGGATCGTTTTACAATGCGGCCTAAGTCGGAAACGCTGAGCGGGTGCGTCGCGTTCCATTTTAGAATTTATGAACACTGTCTTTGGGATCGTTTTACAATGCGGCCTAAGTCGGAAACGCTGAGCGGGTGCGTCGCGTTCCATTTTCGAATTTATTGCCATTGTCTTTGGGGCTATTTTCCAATGCGCCCTTGGTCGGATACGCTGAGCGGGTGCGTCGCGTTCCTATTTCGTTTTATGAACACTGTCTTTGGGATCGTTTTACAATGCGCGCGCAGGCAGATACGCTGAGCGAGTGCGTCGCGTTCCGATTACGAATTTTATAAACACTGTCTTTGGGGTTATTTTCCAATGCGGCGATACGCTAAGCGAGTGCGTCGCGTTCCGAATTCAAATTTTATGACCACTGTCTTTAAGGTTATTTTCCAATGCGGCGTCGGCCCGATACATAGAACGGGTGCGTCGCGTTCCAATTTCGAATTTAACGAGCTCTAATACCAGTGTCTGGAGAGTTAATTTCCAATGCAGACAGACGCGTGAGCGCTGGATAAAGCATTAACTAGATTATCTATCTAGTTATATCGTGTTCCATTTTCTAATTTAATGAATTCTAACGCCACTTTCTTTAGGATATTTTTGCCAATGAAGTTCCATTTTTAAATATGATGTACTCTAGTGCTGATGTAATACAAAATCATTAAAGAGCGATAGCTGATGTAACCAACTGCTTTACTCCGGACATTAAAATAACAAGATGAAATCCTTAAATGCTTCATTTATGCCACACATACGTAAATACTAGAAATCAATTAAAAGATTATTAGAAAATAAAAAGATGTCAAATGCGACATACAGTTTTGAATTTGTTGAGGTTAAAATCGAAAGAGAGAGGGAAAAAAACACGAGTCATATTGAAAAGGGTTCAATTCCGCTCCATGTCAGGTCCTAAGCCATCTTGCATACGTGCTTCTATATCCATTGCCCTTTCCGTTTTGCAGGTGCGAGCGCCAGCGACTGCTGCAGGTAAGAGACGAGTGTAGAATTAAAGCGGCTCGAACCTCCTCGGCGCGGCCCCTAAGGCAGACCACGTTGGCCATATTCGCTATCTCGGTGTACCCTTGGTGTACGTGACGAGAAACAAGTAGAAAGTCGCGTGCTCAACGAAAGTATACGTGACAGAAGCGAGACCCCGAAAAGAAAGGAATGGGAACGAAAGTCTTGAGTGCATGCATCGGAATTTGTAAAGAATACCATTTGCACATTGCAAATACACTTTTTTATTGTCCTCGAACTTAAATCGATTATAAATTCGTGTCTTCCGAGAACGACGTTTGAGATATAGCGATACATGTTAAATCTAGCTCAGCAGCGCAGCGTCATCTCTTATTCTCATTCCCACTCTTTCTCGCCCTGCTCAAATATTCTATTCCTGTCCTTTTTGCGTTAGGAACGTTTTAAACCGTTCCATTATATCTTTATATTATAACACTTAGAAAACTGTTAATTGAACACTTTCCACTGTAATTTTCTATTATCCCTCGACACGTCATATTCGATGTGTCCTCTTAAATGATTAAGGCTTCTATAGGAGTATGTTCCCTTTATTATTACGGGTCCGGGAGGTACCTTGATGGTTTCGATGCAGCCTGTGTTCCAAGACCAGCTAGCCACGGCGTCAACTCAGGGTCATGAGAAAATTCCGCATGACGTGTGGTCCCGTCGACTGTACCCTCCTAGCTCAGTGCGTAGCTCACAGCGGAGGGTCCGAGTTCTGAAGCGAGTTCCGAATGATCCAGGTGAGACAGGCCACGTCGCCCGCCCCCAGTGGCGCAGTGGCGGGCGGCCCGAAGCGCGGCAGGCGCCCCTATCGGACCGCGCCGCGCTGCAAATGAGCCGCCGGCAGCGGGGACGGGGAGCGAGCGATATACCCCTCTCTTTCTAACAGCGAGTACTTCAGCCCCGTTGGGTGCCGTTGAACGATGACGGTGTTTCTGTGCCAACAGTGTCTTCACCCCTCGCCCATTCACTCATGTCGCCATCACTCGCCGTATCGAAGGTAGTGGTATCGGAAAATCCCTCGGGGTACCTCCCGGGATATATAAACTCACAGTCATCAGCATCACACATTAAGTATAAGCTAAATATACGTTAGGGTTGAGAGATACTCAGCGAGGGACGAATCTCGAAGTTACGTGTAATTAGTCACTTCATCAGTTTTCCAATATTGATATTACGTAATGTACAAAGTACTGTAAGCGTAGGCGTTAAACGTTCAGAGTTTACGGAGGTCGTAATCTCGGCGGGACCCCGCCGCGAGCTGTTGTGATATAAATCCTGCCATTGGAAGGTGGAGCGTTGAATACGGTCTAAGGCCTGTCCTAATATATACTAGCTGTGTTGACGCGACGAAAGTCAAGGGTGGCGGACCGTAGGTCATTGGTCACACTATACTATCCGGGAGTACTTCCCAAAACTGCGAGATAAATATTTCCACACTCTTGCCACAACTAGCTCGTATCGATTAACTGTTAAAAAATATGCAAATTAAAAAAAAGGTTCGCCACCTCTGCCTTTCATACACACTGAGAAACATAGAGGTTTCAAAAGCGATGAAATCGTAAAATGTACGTCTAACCAACATTTCTTTTCGTATTAACTACGAATTTCGCACGCAGTAACATTTTCTAATACACTCTGAACGCTTACTATTCTATCTCGATTATTTAAAACCTAACTCCACATTAATTTCGATTTTGTTTCTTTTTTTTAAACGGTTTTATTTAGCTCGACCCGTACGGAATTTGTTTATTTATTTGGGTCAAAATTAGAAATTGAAATTTAAGCACTTTCCCGTTGTCAGATTGATCTGAAATTTGGTACACACATTTAATTTAGATGACAATGCAATATTGTAGTCTTCAGTGCACATAAAATAAAACCGTTTAACTTAAAAGTTTTTAAACGGTTTTATTTAAGTACAAGTCTGCGAAGTTTGAACTGCCCAGTAACGGTACAAAGAGTACATTTCGACGCAAACATGGCGGTGTATATTTCGACAGTTATAATGCCTAAGTAGGATTAGATAGGTTACGGATGGCGTGCCTTTAGAAGAGTATTTATCTAGGATAGGAACGCATCGATACGTTTGCCGACTAAAATTCCTTTCGATCTTGCATTGCACGAATAGAATAAATAGGTTAGTTGGTCGACCACGTTAAATTAGTATTTATAAAATTTGGTTTGTTTTTTTATTGCAAATCTTATATAATACGATACAAAAGAATACCTTTATTATTTTTATACTGTATTGGTTTTTCTAATTTTTTTTATAATATGAAAAGAAAAAGTTTTCAATGCCAGTTGTTTGAGAAGCTTGGCGAGTTTTGGCGCCAAAATCCATGTCAAAATTTTAATTTATAACCGTCTTAAAACAGTTTTAACCGGCACTAATGACTACAAAAGATATGTTCGAGCGACATATTATGCTGGGATAGTTATTTATTTTGTTTTATTTATGTTTATTGTTTTTTTTTTATATTTATTTTAGTTTCCCCTTTCTCTTTGGTTCCCAGATGAATAAAAGCGAGGGCGGACTGTTTGTCCTTTACAAGTACCTGCGTTTGCTCGTCGACAACTCTTGTTGAGGACTAACGATCTAACCCCGCCGTCATTATCATTTTCGACTTTAACACCACATTAATAAAGTCGAAAGCGCCGTGACTAATGCTGTTGGTTCCATCAAAACTCTGCTAAAGTAGCACCTCGTGTATAGATTTATGAACAAGCTACCAGCGATATTCTTGGAAGGAATACATTTTTTCCGTTCTTTCGATATTCGGACTATGCACATTTTTCATTCGCAGTATACAGCGTGTCTTTACAATCGCGACAATAAATGAACACACAAATAGAGGATATTTTTTTAAAATTGTATTAAACATTTACATTCTTTAAACATCAATATTTACAGAGTCATAAAATTTTCTAAAATAAAGAATTTTAGAACACCCTTACGTATAAAACTGTAACGTAAAGTTCATTTGTAAAGGTCACAAAGCATATGAATGGGTTGAATGAATTTAAAAGAGACAAAACATACTGTTAGAAGGAGAGGCTTGTAATGCGACTGTGGCAACGAATGAAAAAGTCTCGGAATGTATGAATCAGTCAGTTGTAGTTGTATAGCATGTTACAAATTTTGTTTTTTTTTTACATAATTAGTTTGAAGAAAAATTTTTTTTTAATTATTGATTTTTTTAACGTTTATATTTTTTATGATTATTGTCAATTAGCGTTAGACGTGTGTTCATTTATTGTCGCGGTGGTAACGACACGCTGTATAGAAGACCATACGCATTCAGCACATGTTGCACTGTCACCTAGGAAAGAGACCAACGGCCAATTTCTGCTTCGTAGAGCGTTATCTCTGTCGCGCGTTGAACTAACAGTACGGTAGTGTGTGACAGAGACAACGCTATAGGAAACCGAACGCAGACCATTATCTCTTTCCATCACTGCGGCTGTGTAAAGAAATAATATAATCACTACAACTTTAACAGATCTGATTCTTTCCGATCCGTTTTGAGTTTATTATATTTAGACTTCAATCGTATTTTTATTAAGTTTTACAGTATTTTCTACCCTATAATAATTTTGAATGGTAAATAATAAATAACACTGTAATAAGAATTTGTAATTGTTTCGAGAATACATTTATGAGTTGCCTAATGAAAATATCGTAACGGTTGCTGATGGAATGAAATTTGTTTTCCCGTTCTTAATTTTTGTTAAAACTATTTTTTTTAATTTAAAAATTTAATAATTTTTTAAATTAATTTCGGTTGTGGGTCAAAAAAGATGAGTTAAGTTTGAACTTCATTGCAACAGTTACTGCGTTAAAATATATTTTCTTATTTCGACAGAGTTATATCATAAAGTCGTGCAATATTGTAAAAGATACATAATACGAGTAGTAATTGTATTAGGTAATTGTATAAAAAGTTAGTTTTAAATAGATCTGATAAAAGACTTTTAAATAGATATGATTTAAATCAATTCAAGTATCGTTTAGCTTTAATTTTCCTTTTTTACTTTTAGCGTTGTTTTTTTTTTTATTTTATGTAGAAATGTATTGAAATTTTTTTTTTCAAATTTTTCTTTTTTTTTTTTACAATCGAACAAATATTGCCATGATCATGAATAATTATTTTCTTATATAGATAGTTAATTTTTTAATGAGTTCTATATTTATTTAAATCTGTTTTAGGCGTTTCGGGAATCTCAGTAATGGAACGACAAACAAAAATCAACATATTATATTATACAATGAGAGAGTAGAATTAGGGTTATTCGTCATCCAATGTAAATTTAGTTCTTGCTAATGTTCTAATGAAATTAATTTATACATCAGTAGACGGTTAGTTCTGGCTGATGAAACTTGCTATAAGATCACAGTACTATTCCTTGAACTATTCACGGTTTTTAAAGAGGATGAAATGATTATATTACTCGACAAATATATATATATATATATATATATATATATATATATATATATATATATATATATATGTATATTTTCATGGTAATGAATTACTCCTTATTGAATAGCTTTCTGGTACTGCATCTCCTATCGTACGGTTATCATTATTATTTAATAAAGCGTAGATTGTGATACTGCAAAGGGCGTTATTTCGTGTCGATTTTTTGCGAACAAAATCCATATGTTTATAGCGTTTCGTTTCTTCACGAATTACAACTTAATCACATTTTAATAAGCCGAGACCACGTTAATTTCATTATTCAAGCGAGCACGAGCAGATTTTTTAAATATATATTAAAAGATACAATGTTCTAAAGTGGGACAGGAGAGTGATGAATTGGGAGTTTTCAGGAATGTCCCATATCGTCATATAAAACGGGGCTTTAAAAGGTCACCCGTTACAAATTCTATGTATTATCAATATGATCTTTTAGCGCCGTTCTTAATAACTGATAATAACAGATAATAACGAGTGAAATTCTGTTACTAAGCCCAAGAAGTGCAACATATAATTCATCCATTAATAGTTATATCAATTATTTTATTGCACCGTATTTTGCATAAACTGATGTTTAAGTATTCTCATTTACTACTTTCTCAACACTTGTTATTAATATTGCCATATCGTCTACACTTATAGATATTGCCTTACTAACACCAGTTCTAATTCTTAGTGTTCTCTTGCCTATTATAAATCTTTTATTGGAAATATTACGCGACATATGTAAAGGTGAGTATAGACTACAACATTTACTTGTAACAGAACAACGAGCCGCTCTATGATATGTTCTAGTGTATCATCCTTTCACGGACTAAACGTCGAGCACGCTCGCCTCTTTGATGCAAACCTTCTTGTATTAACTGATGTTTTTGCTTTCAGTCCCGAGACTATTAAAGCTTCATCGGACGCAGGTTGCAAACCATATTGCATATTGGTGTAACATTTCGTCGAGCCACGAGTGCGGGCGATGCGCGGATGCGATTTCTATTTTTCTTTTTTCTTCTAATATAATTTATATATATTATATATTTATTTATGTATGTGTGTTTATTATAATTTTGTTTATTTTATTATATTTAATTCGATTTTGGTATTAAGTAAGTTTATTGAGCACACCACCTCCCACTATTCATTAGTTTATTTTTCCTCGTCCTAAGGTTGTCTGGAAGAGATCGCTTTTTAGCGATAAGACCGCCTTATTGTACTTAGCTTTTAAGACTTAGTTCATACTAATTGTATCAAATTCTTTGTGGTGTACAATAAAGTATATAATAATAATTCATCAAGATAAACGCAGCACACGCAACTTGTATGTCCGACATTTCAAAAAAGAATGAACGCAAGGCACAATGAAATGTTGGTAAATGCACAGTCGCTGTGAGCATTTACCCGTAACATAACGCCTAGCATTCGCAAGAACGTTACATTACACAGAAATGCTACAGAAAATGTTGTAGTCTATACTCACCTTAAGAAAATATCTGAATTTGCATATGCTTTTAAATTTCCTCGAGGCTTCATTAAATTACTTTATATCTTCCACTTCGTTTTAAAACGTGATAGAATAATTTCTCAGCTCAATTTTTACTTCGCAATATTAACTTTTATTCGGTTTATATTGGTAGGCCTAGTTTTATAATTTACCCCAACAGTTAACACATTATTTTCGATTCCATTACTATTTCGATGTTCTAACGAATATAGATTCATTTCATTGTCATTCCAAAGTTGCCATTTGATTTTCATAGTTTAAGCTCGTGGTAAGTTAAGTATGGACCGTTCGCTTAATCGTGATTAAATATTGCTTAATAATAATAACCTTCACTCTCGATCACACCGATATTAGCACAACCACTACGGTATTAATAAATTGTCATTATAACGTTATTACGTAAGCAATAATTGTCGCGGTTTGTGATGTTATTAAATGAACTTTTATCTATTTTATCGCGTGTTAATTTTGATTTTTAATTCGGGACGTTTCGAACTCTCCCGCACTCATGGTCACGGGACAGACTTAATTGGAATGAAACAGTTTCATTTCATATATATAATGTTCGCGTAAAAACAAGAAATCAATGTGTTACATGATGTTACTTGCTCAATGTTATAGTTGACCTAAAAACTGTTTCGATCTCTTCCAACTTTACAAGTGAAGCAAATTGTATATGAATCGTTAATTTAAATCGGTCGATTAAGTAAACGGTATTGAAATAATATAAAGACAGTTATATTGTTAATAGTTGAGTTTCAATGGTCAAGTCTATGAAGTGCCTCGGGTCGTATCAAAAATTATCCAGGTTCGAAACCACAATGCGGTACTCGACTAGGTGTACCAGTGAGTGCATAAAGATTAAAAAAATAAATAGGTCTAATGGGAGTTATAACGTACATAATCATGCTATTAACACGTCTTTGCACGGACAATACTCCTAAAATATTTTACAACTTCGCTTATAATGTGAACGCATATATTATTCTTTTTGTTTATCAAGTTGAAAGGTGTTTTAAGTTAACTGTCATTTGTATTAGAGCATGCATAACTTGCATTAGCTCAATCCTTGATTAACATTTTGTATTCATCCGGTGGCACCGAAGTTCCGAGACGGTAGATTGGCGCTTATTTTTAGCTATATAAAAAGTTTTATTGTTAAATTCGTTGCATTGTTGGGTATAAACTTTTTTTGTATGATAAAATTACGTCATTTTTGGACCGATAAAATGGAATTTGTTAATCAATAGCAGTGTAACCAGTACGTTCGGTTTAATAACTAATAGCTAGACATATATATTTGTTACTACCGTTGTATGACTAAATAATGTGATTGCGTGCCATACAATATTGATGTATATATTTAAGTTGTGCTCATATAAGTACGAATGTCAATGACTCAGTTTAAAAAGCGGCGACAAGGACATGTCACTTCCATTGAAACGTTGACATCCTTCGACATCTCTATATAACCCGGTAGAGTTGATCGATGAGCGATGTCAATTGATGTCAAATAATTTCAACTCATTCTCTCCAGTGTTTCAATGATGATTAGTTAATGATTGATGCATACGAGGAAATAATCTCAAATGTGACAATATATAACGGACTACCATAAACTAGAAGTTAAAATTTTTATAGTGCTAATCTCCGCACTTTAGATTAAACATTGAAATTTTTGTGGGAAAAGCGTTGCTTCAAATGCTGAAGAACCATTTAGATAGGGCGTTGAGAATTTGTCGGTGCGCCAATCGGCCGTTTAGCTCAGTGGCTAGAGCGTGAGGGCGCGAATCCCGGAGACGTGGGTTCGATTCCCACAGCGAGGAGAAACTTCGTTCGTTTTTTTTTTTCTACAAAAATTTTAATACCATAAACTAATTGTCCCGTTCTACAAATCGGTAAGCGTTTCGACCATTGATAATATTTTTTTAACTTTAGTCTCTAAATGTATGTATAATGTTGTATGAACTGTTGTGAAACGTGTGATTTGATATGTTATGAGGCGACAATTACGATGCCCTCGATATGTTGAAAATCTCAAAAGATTGTATTGTAAAAATGTTTAATAATGTTGATATTTCTTAAAGTTATCTCAAATATAGCTTGGCCTTTTATGGTGTCCTTTAAACGCATAGTGTTCCGAAATGTGATGAATTTTTATAAATAAAATTGTAAAGTTTATATTTTTGTGTTTTATTTGGTCATCATTTATGATGAATGTGAGTTTATAAACTTTTGGGCCTTATGTCGTTGTAGCAGCAACATAAATGCCACTAAATCTAAACAGATTGCCAATAGACGATACATTCTACATTCTTTATGATCTTGAAGATTTTTAACGAAAACATTTCGGATCACGCTTTAAGTTTAGCGAGTTTATTCTAGAAATTACAACCGAAGTCGCAAATTAGGGAGTTTATATAGTAGCGTGCGAGCAACGGGGCACGCCAGAAGAAGCACTCCCTCTCGAAGACCGTCAACGGAGTGAGGTAACTCGCTGTCTGCGGATCTAGAAGGAGAAAGAAGATATTGATACATTGTTTACATGAGCCGTGATAGCTGATTGTCCGGGCGCTCGCCTTTAATTCCATATATTAGAGCAACTTGAGTTCGAACCGGTGTAGGCACCAATGAAATTGTTGATTTTAAGTGCTGAATCACGTTCTCAGCGGTGAAGGAAACATCGTGAGGAGACCTGCATATTTTCGAAAAAAATTAAAAAAATATTTTGAAGATATCACGGTGGTGAACTGTGCCCTAATACACTCTGCACAGAGTCTCTGTCCAGCAGAGGACGTTTATAGGCTGTTACTGTGTGTTACTTTACCTTTTTTTTCTTTATTTTTACACGAATACATGGTTAAATGAAACAATTTTACGGATGTTATCCACTTTTATTTTGATTTTAAATTAGTGTTCGAAACGTGAGGGATTTAAAATCAAAATAAAACTCAATAAAACAATTGAATTTTACCAAGAAAAACGACTTTGAATTGCCTAAGGCACAAATATCAAGCGCCACGCGACCATCCAAATTATTAACTTCAAATCTGTGTTATTAGTTATTAAGGTAACCGGGGCCCATCCTATTAAAACGTTGGAAACAAATCTTAGTGTCGTTGTAGGTATACCGTAGAAATATAGTTAGTTTAAGAAATAGAGACTACTTGGTTTGGGCAAACCCATGGAAGACCAGCTGTCTTGGCCGTCATAAGGTACAAGATACTCACTGTTGGGGTTGAGGAGGAAGGTCGGCAGAGCGGCCACGTCGGCGAAATTGAAAGATGTGCACAGATTCAACCCATTACGGTAAGGCAGGTTGGTTGTCAACCGGATCAATGCTGTAAGCGTTCAAGATGTTTAAAATTCAAAATGCGTGTGTGGAAAAACAGTCAGCGCAACAGTAAACACTATAGTTCGTCCTCGCCTCCGAGCACGGCGAAACCAACACAACGCGTACACAAGGTACAGAGCACTGCGAAACCAACACAACGCGTAGGTACACTCGCGTTCCAGGGTGGCTCTCACCGCCCCCAGCCACCGGAGTTATATATTATTAATTAACGGAGTTATTTATTTATATATATTTCAAGAGAAATTCAAATTCAAAATATCTTTATCCAATATAGAGGCATTAAACTTACTCATTGATTGTCAAAATTCTACTACTAACGGCCCGGAAATAAACCACCGACCTGAGAACCGGCGATAGAGCCATTATTTAACAAAGAAACATTTGTACAGTTACATTATAATCCACATTTCTGTGAGAAGGTGGCAAACGAGCTGGCGGTTCACCTGATGTTAAGTGATAACCGCCGCCTATTTTAATCAACATTTTGTTGTAAAATAAGGAGAGAATTAATTACTGATCATTAGACACCGAATTAATAATCTCTTCAATCTCTACGATAACTTTTTTTATTAACAAGTACTTAGCAAGGATTTGGGCTAAAGGTAAGTGGTGTTGGTACTAAACCGTCGCATTGAAGACGAATAGTAAAAGTCTGACCGCTGACGGGGAGACTTATAAAGGGCAAGCCCACAGCTGGTTTCAGCATAATAATAATAATAATGGCCGTTTGGTCTCCCCTGCCGAGGGCTTCCGTCTGGTTGGGTCCTATTTATATATGTATTATATAAAATATTTTTATAAGTATGTTTATTTTTATCCATAATATTTATTTTATATATGCAATATGTATCTATATTTTTATTTATAAACCCAACCAGACGAGGAAACAAATGAATATCCCCCTATAATAATCATGATAATAAATAATATTCATGGGTGGCAGTTATCACATAACATGAGGTACCGCCTGCTCACATGGCACTTTTTAAGCCACCTTAACTGACCACTATATTGGTGCAAACGGTCCAAAGCTGACAAAACTCCAACAGCTTATGTTTTTCCACACGCAGGCTTATTAACGTAAAGGCATTGCACTCACGGTAGGTCCCTTGTATTCTGTAGCTATAGGTTCGGTCCTCCTGAAGCGAGGCGTGTTGTATCAATAAGCGATCGGACGCAAAGTTCAGCTGTGGGCAATCGATGGCCAGTACGACGTTGTTGGTCGAACGGTTTATGCTGGAACGATTATAAGTTTTACAACTGTTTGAAAATGAAAATTAAAATTAGTGTAAAATAACGGGGCAGTCTTCGGGGACTGCGGATAGAAGTGAAAAGTAAGTAAGATAGTAATAAAATAAAACCGTTTAAAAACTTTTAAGTTAAACGGTTTTATTTTATGTGCACTGAAAACCACAATATTGTATTGTCATCTAAATTAAATGTGTGTACCAAATTTCAGATCAATCTGACAACGGGAAGGTGCTTAAATTTCAATTTCTAATTTTGACCCAAATAAACAAATAAATTCCGTACGGGTCGAGCTAAATAAAACCGTTTAATAAATAAAAATGCGTTCGTGATGATAACGCGAGTTCTATGATTTTTGTTCACCGAAAAAGTGCCCAACGCGCCTAAAGAAGTTTTCACTACTTTAGGCGCGTAGGCTTCAGAAGAAGCCTACGCAGCCGATATTATTTATTTATTTGATGAGATATTTATTTATTTATATAAACAGCGCGAATACTCACAAGAACTCTGAGACGTTGCATCTGTTCGAGTTAGTTACGACCAGGTTGTTGTCGATGTAGGTGGCGTTGAAGTACGGTACGTCGAACCTGTACTGGTTTACTGTATACCGTTCGGGGATGCGGCCGACCACGTAAGGGTTGCAGTAAGAGTTGGCGGCCAGAATGCGCCCAATGCAGGCCAGGTCCGTCAGCTGGCATGGCCGAACGATATCGGACGCTGGACAACGCGAAACAGAGTTTAGTAGCGGCCTATAAATGTCACACGGCCGTCAAAGGCCTCCTCTGCGCAGGTACTAGGGCATAATCCACGCGACCCTACTACGGATTGGCGGACTTCATATCTTTGAAATATTTTTTATAATTTTTCGAATATATTCAGGTTTCCTCACAACGTTTTCCTTCGCCGCTGATAACGTATGTCAGCCGTTAAAATTAACGATTTCAATGCGGCCCTGACATTGAGCTATCGCGGATCTTTGAGTAAACTTATGGTAAAGTTGATGACTCCGTGGCGCAGTTGCCAAGGTATTAGCTTCGGCGTCGGGGGTCGTGGGTTCGATTCCCACACGGGACAACTATTTGTGTGACCCGCAGATGGTTGTTTCGCATCTGGGTGTTTGTCCGCGCGAAATTTATGTTTGTAACACGTCCTTATAACACGGGATTATGTTATCCTAAAGTAAGGGCAACGTTTAAAAAAAGATAAGAAAAGACAAATAAGAAAAAAAAGTTCAGGCAAAATGAATGTTTCGTGTCATTGCTTTCAGTTCTTCCTCCTCACTGAGAGGGCAATGGTACGGAACTAAATGTAATTTATGGGCTTCTAAGTTGGATTAAAATATATAGAAAGTAAAATTGATTGTAGCATTCTAATAAGCAGCGTGCATGTAAAACTAATTTGTATAAGTAATAATATGGTAAGTAATGTAGGCAACTGCCTGAACTTATCCCACCGCTGGGCAAAACCTCGACGGCATATTAGTATGGCCTACTTTTTGTTGTAATGTTTAATAATAATTTAACTGTTGCTGACACGGGAACTCGAACTTGCATTACTCTAATGCACTAAATTAAATTGATGTAAAAAAAGGAAGTAGGTACCATGGTCTCACAGAAGACCAGCGTTATGTGGAAGTGTTATACTTGTCTGTTTCGCCTGACGAGTGAGGCGGCCGGTGTCCACTGTTTTAAAGTTCATAGCGATTGCCATTTGCAACACCCAGTTATAATAAAATCAGTTAAACAAAAAAATTAAATGTAGTTCAGAAAAGGTTGATACATTTTTAAAATTCACAAACCGTAACTCACCCACAAGGGAAGAGGTCACCGCCAGCGTAAGTACCAAAACTCTTTCCATCATTCTGGCCCTTGGTTAGTTCTCTCGTCTGTAACAACCGGGTCTTCTTAATCAATATCGAGACTCTCTCGGTATATATATTGCTGCGGTGAAAAAAACAATGCTGGAAAAAATTACTTGTTTTTTGCAAACCCATGAAGGGAGAACATAATTTATTTGTACAACTGAATACACCCAGGTACTCGTTAGTGCTGCAAATGAAAGTTGTTTTTATATTTGAGTTTTATTTTTTATATAATTGTATGAAAAATTACCGTTTTTATCAGAATAATTTAAGTTTTTTTTAGATTTAGAAACTTCACCGGTTACAAGCTTGATTATAAGCTTATAATTATTATTTGCGTGGCCCTACCACAGTTACATAAGCTTTTCGTACCTCTTTCATAGAATTACCTTAAAAGCGTAGTGAAGTTGGTAAGGTATTGGCGGAGTAGACCACTTATTTTAACCAGCCGAGGTTATTTAGCTAATTTCGTTACTCCTTTATTACTACCCAAGGGACAAGTTTAGGGTGTAAAGTAAAGTAAAGTAAAGTAACAGCCTATACATGTCCCGCTGCTGGGCAAAGGCCTCCTCTATACAGAGGGTATCAGGGCATAGTCCACCACGCGGCCCCACTGCGGATTGGCGGACTACACATATCTTCGAAAAATATTTTTTTTTATTATTTCGAAAATATGCAGGTTTCCTCACGATGTTTTCCTTCACCGCGGAGCACGTGATAAGTCAGCACTTAAAGTTAAAAACTTCATTGGTGCCGGCACCGGGGATCGAATTCGGGTTGCTCGAGTATATTGAAATAAAGGCGAGCGCCCGGACACTGAGCTATCACGGCTCAGTTTAGGGTGTAGGGAGTCATAATTACTACGTAAAACCTCCGGAGGCGAGCGACATCTTAAAATAAAAAAATTTGAATTGATTACAGAGATAAACCAAAATCTCAAGCGACGCCAAGTGAAAAATGTAATACAATTCAACCATTAACAATGCTGCACATTGTGCAGGTGTTGTATATATGCAATGGTACAATTATTCAAACAATCGATTCGTTAGGATAAAACAAAAAGTAAAACAAATATTATTGTATAATTATTCATCACTTTCGTATTGGGGTGCATGAAAGGAGCCTCCCCGAGCGATGTACATATAGAGTCCGTACGTCCGGCGCACCCTGGGCAACAGTCAAAGATTTTCTCCCACTGACTGGCCAATCCTTTCACCACGATGACAAACCCTAATCATCCACATGATAGTCCAGCGCTCAAGCCTGCTTTGCGTGTAATCTCGATTAATATCGAAGGGTTCTCCGAAGACAAGTCCGAACTGCTTGCAGAATTATGGCACACAACGCACTGTGACGTCCTCTGTGTACAAGAAACCCACCGAGACGAAACGCAAGGCCGGCCATACGTAGCTGGACTGACTCTCATCTCCGAGACTTACCACCCGAAATACGGTAACGCAGTATTTGTTACTCCCGGAGTGAGTATAAAATCAACAAAGTGTTCGACCCAGAACGGCATCGAGGTCATCACCTTGTACCTAAATCACTGCTCCGTAACATCCATATACAAACCTCCCGGTACACCTTTCAAACTCGATCCTCTTGAGAGCCTAATAAATGACCAGCACAATAAAATTATAATCGGTGACTTTAACAGCCATAACCCACTTTGGGGCTACAAAGACATGGACAAGTGCGGTCAAGCACTGGAGACATGGGCTGAAGCGAATGACCTGGTTCTGGTTCACGATCCCAAACAACCGGCATCGTTTAACAGCGGCCGATGGAAGCGAGGGTATAACCCAGACCTAGTATTCGTTAGCTCCAACATAAGTTCCCAGTGCATTAACACCGTGTGCGCGCCGGTTCCTCACACGCAGCACAGGCCCATCATGTGCGATATAATACCCGTGGTTCAGCCCTTACAAGTCCCGTACAAACGCCGATTTAATTACGCGAAGGCTAAATGGGAGCAGTTTGCGAAGGAAATCGACGACGCTCTCCTGAATGTTCCCCCAACCCCTAAGAGATATGACGAATTTGTCGACCTTGTGTCTAGAACTTCACGCAAGAATATCCCACGGGGTTGTCGTACATCTTATATCCCAGGGCTGTCAAGCGACTCTATCAAACTGCTCAAAGTGTACTAGGCAATGTACAGCAAAAACCCTTTTTCGGAGGAAACATTACAGGCCGGGGAGGAGCTTTTATCCAAGATCAGCGAAAATCGGCGAGAAAGATTGATCAACACGGTTGACAGTATTGACCTGATACATAATAATAAAAAAGCCTGGCATACCATCCGCAAGCTAACCAATGGTCCACCTCGTCCTATCACTCCCAGTACGGTTACAGCTAACCAAGTAGCCTATCAGCTCTGAATGGCAAACCTCCCAGGCGCACCCCGAGGACTCCAAAGCTGAACACCACTGATGCCTCTGATCACATTAGTAAGCCTTTTCTGCTGTTTGACATCATTGCGGGTATAAAATCTCTCAAAAATGGCAAAGCCTCGGGAGTTGATAATATCTCTGTTGAGCAGATTAAACATCTTGGACCAGTTGCTGTGTCCTGGTTGCTTCAAATGTTTAACGCTTGTCTTGAAACCTCCCAGATACCCCGCATCTGGAGGAAATCGAAGGTCATAGCTATACCTAAGCCAGGAAAACCATTAGACGACCCCAAAAACTTCAGGCCTATCTCATTACTATGCCATACACATAAGCTTTTAGAACGGCTTCTACTAACTCGCCTCACAAGCTTTATTGACCCGAGATTGATTCCAGAGCAGGCTGGTTTCAGACCTATAAAGTCTTGTTGCAATCAGGTGCTTAAGCTCACGCAACACATTGAGGATGGTTTTGAGATGGGAAGAGTGACAGGCGCTGTATTTGTGGATCTCTCGGCAGTCTACGACACAGTGAATCTGAGGCGACTGCTGTGGAAGGTGGAGACCATGACAACAGATATTAAATTTGTCAATGTCCTCCGAGAGCTCCTCCATAATCGTCGCTTCCAGGTTCACCTTCTCAAGGATGTTAGCCGTTGGAGAGTCCAAAAAAACGGCCTTCCACAGGGCAGTGTACTGGCTCCAATGTTATTTAACATATATACCAACGACCAACCATCCAGTCCAAATACCTCCCGCTTCCTTTACGCGGATGATCTCGCGCTCACGTCCCAATCGACCAGTTTTGCCGAAGTTGAGAACAATCTCACCGTAGCTCTCAACAGTTTAAGCCAGTATTACGATGAGAACTCACTCAAGCCTAACCCAAGCAAGACTGAGTCGAGCGTATTCCATCTACGCAACGCACAATCAGGCCGTAGGCTCGAGATCTCCTGGCGTGGAGTGCCCATCGCTCATAATGACTCTCCCAAATACCTTGGCGTCCTGCTGGACAGATCCCTCACTTTCAAAAAAAATTGTGAGTGTCTGAAACGAAAGGTGCACTGCCGCAACAACTTGTTACACCGTCTAGTGCGTACGGACTGGGGGGCTACGCCACATGTGATGCGCACTTCTGGCCTGGCGCTAGCGTTCTCTGCCGGCGAGTTTGCTTGCCCCGTATGGGGCCGCTCTGTTCATGCAAAGCTTGTGGATACAGCTTTAAATGAAACCTGCCGAATTATAACCGGATGTTTAGGCCAACCACGGTCAAATTGCTGTATCCGCGAGCTGGAATAGCAACGCCGGCTGTACGCAGAGCCGTTGCGAGCTCGCGAGAGAGGGCTAAGGGTGAAGAAGACATGCGGCACCCCTTACACGGGCACGAGCCTCCACCGCAAAGACTGAAAAGCCGAAAAAGTTTTTTAAAATACGTCGACCCCCTCACAAAACCGAGCTCTCTCAAGCGAGATGTAGATTGTGGCGTGCTGAAACGCTGATTCCGGACCCCTTTGTCCCGCTTTCCGAGAGTCTTCCGCCTGGGCACAGATTGCCATGGCCAATCTGGAAGTCTTTAAATAGACTTCGGACTCAGGTTGGCCGGAGCAAAGAAAATATGGTTAGGTGGGGACTCTCGGGGAGCCAAGACATAGATTGTGTGTGTGGAGCGGTGCAATCCATGGCTCATCTGGTGTCCTGTCCTGCCTGCCCTTCCACCTGTGCGCAGCAGGATTTGATGGACGCCACGAACTGTGCAGTCGAAGTGGCCAAGTTCTGGGCCGGAAAAATTTAATTTGTCATCGACACGCAAAGAAGAAGATCACTTTCGTATAATGGATAGATAATCCATTACGATTTTTAACCATAACAAAATCCATTATTCTGGAAGTAATATCAAAGTCTATATAATAATTAAACAGGCATAAGAGTACGTTTATAGTTGGTTATCGTCGTTCCTTGATCAAACATAAGATCAAAATATCATTGAAATGTCTATCATGATCTTATATTTTACCCGAGTCTGTTGTTGGTAATAAATGTGAAAGTATTACATGTAACATATGATTATAAATCCCTACTTGCTAATAAATTTTACTAATTTGTGCGGAGATGTGCAATCCTTATATTTTGTTTTATGTGAAAAGTTGCCAAACGAGCAGACGGTTCACCTATTGTTAAATGAATACCGCCGCCCATGGTCATCTGCTACACCCGAGGGTTACAGATGCGTTGACAACCTTTTCAAAATTGGGCTCTGGCTACCTCACTCACCAGACGAAACGCGGAAGTATTTTTCATACTTCCACTTTACACCGGTCTTCTGTGAGGTCGTGGTTCTTACCCGCACGGGCCTGCCCATTCGTGCAACAGCCGAGGCTGCTGCGTGGCCCTACCACTAAGACCAGAATAATCTTCTTAATGATCAGAATGATCTGTCACCGTAAAAAGTAAATTAAGTGGATTTAATTGATAAACGTAAACATGAACTTTGAATTTGTTCTGATTTAGAGTGCTTTTTTATCCTTCTTGATACCCTCTATCAGTTGATACTGCTAATCCTGATTAGTTTCACATAATTTACAATAACGTTAGCTTATCTCCCTCGCCATGAAACTAAAATTATCGCAGAAAATCTACCAAGGTCTAAAACAGTTATATGCTCATTCCTCCTTTTTTTTATTCCACCACCATCACCTACGAATAAACGCTTGAATCAGTATTAAATTATATTTTAAACAGTTACGTTTTGTGTTGTAAACAGAACACAATAATTCTGCCACATTAGACCATCATGTTAAGCCTTACAGGCCAATATGGGCCTTAACCTGGTCATATATGTTTTTCCAGACTGTTCATGGCTTTCCCTTTTCATCTTCTGAAACCAATTACTTTGAGTTCTTCTTCAACGCCATAAAATTTGGGATCTGCCGCGACTTTTGCGGCCATCTGGTTTAACTTCTCCGATACTCGATTGTGGTAGGGCCACGCAACAGTTTCACTGTTGCACGAATGGGCAGGTTTGTCCGGGTAAATACCACGAAGTGTTACACTTCTGCGTTTCGTCTGGTGAGTGAGGTAGCCGGGGCCCACTCTAATTAAAAGTGGCAACGCATTTGCAACCCTACGGATGTTGCAAATGTCCATGGGCGGCGATTATTACTTAACATCAGTAAAAGTTTACGACGTTTATGCCATTTAGAAATGTATCGAAATTGTGATTTACTTTTGTATAAAGTTTAGCATCTAGCTACTCGGTTTTATTTCTTGGAAAAGGTTTTGTTTCTTGAAAAAGTTTTAAGGCCATGGAGATTTTTTATGTAGATATTATATTCCTTTTGTATAATAACTTTTATATTTGTAATCAAATATATCAAAATATATTAAACCATACTCATGACAAGGAAACAGCAACAACAGAGCTTAATTATAAAAACCTATAAAATATCGCGGTCTCTTATGCTAGTCAACTATAAGGTTTTTAAAAAATTCCATCTAAAGCTGTTCTGATACCCTGCAGCAATACTATGTGACTGCAGGTGCTGAATAGTTGAGTCTCTCTAACTGTAACTGTACTGAACGCCACCCGTCCAGTCTCGTGGTAGAGAATCAAGACAACAACTTGCATCTTGGGGCGTGGTGGTGGACTGTTAGTCTTCTCTCACCAGAACCAGTAAGCGTTCATCCATCGGCAAATCCTCGAAGTTCTTCAAGAATACTGAAGCTGTGTATAGAATCAGACACGAGGAGTTTCGACGTAGAAAATAATACGACCAATAGTTAGTGTTATAACACCACATTGTGCTTTAAGTCTTTGACCAGTGCGTGCGGTCTATACTCATCAAAGATTCCGTACAATAATCTGCACCGACGACAAACAAAATCACTTGTTTAATTCCTATCATTGGTTATCATATTATTCTAAAATGAGTAAAGGATGAACTAACACTTCATTACAAGATTTGTAACACGAAACAATGGAAAAATTAAAACAGTTTTAATAAATGCCAATTTTTATTAGATTTACAATGAAGCAATAGTTTTATGAACATTCGTAATCGTTATTTTTAAACATACCGTAAGTATTTTCGAAAAACAACCAAAGAAGACTTAGGTTAATAGGCCAAGCGATAAAGCTAATAAGGTGATAGAAATGTATGATGGTCTATTTTTAATAATTACAACCGAAGTCACAAATGAGGGAGTTGATAAAGAAGCGAGCGAGCAACGGGGCGCGCCAGAAGAAGCATTCCCTCTCGAAAATATTCAACAGGGTGAGGTCCCTCGAGAGGAATTTCGCCGTTTGCGGATCTAGAAAAAGAAAGTAATTTATTTACACATTTAGCCTTTATTATCAGATAAAAAATAATACAATTTATTTGTCCAATATTTGTTACATAAATCTTTCTAATAATAACCACTTTTTACTGAGGAAAAACAAAACCGAATTCAAATATCTCGCTCCGTGTTCATTTTGTAATTGATTTTCATGAGTTCCCCAAGTATCTTTGAGCCCAAGATCCAATACCAATGAATTTAATTTGGGACCACATGGGAAGCACCAGCTTTCAAATAAAAAAGAATCATCAAAATCTGGACACTCAGTCGAAAGTTCTGAGGTAACAAACATAAAAAAACAGTCGCTTAAGAACCTCCGGTTAAAAAGGTCCGTCCGGGAAACCACGGCCTCATAGAAGACCGGAGCGAAGAGGAACACTTCAGCGTTTCGTCTGGTGCATGAGGTAACCGAGGCCCATTTATTTAAAGGTGACAACGCATCTGTAGCCTTACGGGTGTTGCAAATGTCAATGGGCGGCGGTTATCACAAACATCAGGTTTACCGCCATCTCGCATGCCACCTTCTCGCATAAAAATATCGGTGAATAAACAGAGAAAGGTACTGAAATGTTTTCTCTCAGCCTATTTCCGATTAAATAAAATTCCGATGCTCACTGTTGGGGTCGATGCGGAACAACGGCAGGGCGGCCACGTCAGCGAACGTGAACGCAGAGCATAGATCCAAGCCGTTCTTGTAGTGCAGCGTCGTTGTCAGACGGATCAGTGCTGTAACAAACCACACGTGTTAAATTATAAACTTATATTTTTACTAAATATATATTCGAGACAGACAATTGGTTAACAATAAATAACAGCGCGTATGAAGATAGTGAACTATCCAATGTTCGAAAGCTAAGTGCCGGCTCCGCTTGTGCTTCGCAGTTATAAAGCCTCAGGTATCCCCACTACAGGAACCTCGGCAATATGAAACTGCCTTCCTTTTTGTCAGTTTCTTTGCTGTCGTCCACAGATGGCACCTCAAATTAAATGTTGCCAACACATGTTAGTTCATTCAGTCTTATTTCAGGGATTGGGGATTCACTCGCATTGGCATTCAAGCCCTAAATTCTTCACCAACCCACTAACTAAATAAAACCTATTTACGTTAAAGTTCTATTTTGAAGCAATGATAGAAGACTCCGTGGCGCGGTTGCCAAGGTTATTTCGGCGTCGGGGTCGTGTGTTCGATTCCCACACGGGACAACTATTTGTGCGACCCACAGATAGTTCTTTCGGATCTAGTTGTTTGTCCTCGTGAAATTTATGTTTGTAAAACGGACGATAATGTTATCCTAAAGTAAAAGGACAATGTTTAAAAATTTATTAATAAAAACACGATTTATCTATTAGGTGTCTTTTAAGTCAGTGAAAATTCAAGTGATTAGCCTGCGATGACTTTGATTCATCATTCTAAGAAGAAAAGGAAGATGAAGTATTCAACATTTTAAAGAATTCGAAATCTGGAACTAGAACTCATTTATTTTTATTACTAATAAAGTGTTGTTTTATGTTAGTTGTTGTTCATGTTTTCCAAAAAAGGTTGGCGTCATGCAGGTGGCTGGTTGTAAAAAAATCAGCCAAAACCAGTTACGAAATGATTCGCATACTGTGCCGACCCCACCTAGGTGGGACAAAAGCAGCAGGATGATGATAATGAATAATCAAGCTGCCAAATTTTCTATTTTCATAAACAAAACTACGATTGTCTTCCAAAAACCCTATAACATAGAGTCAATGTGTAAACATGATTTTTCTGAGGACGCTCTCATCTTGGCCCTATTATCTAAAAAAGGCAGTTGAAAGGTCATACGATCTACCGCTGAATACGAGGTAGTGAAATGTTTAAAATAATCGGCCAAGTGCCAGTCAGATTTACGCACGAAGGGTTCCGTACCATTATCTATAAAAACGACAAAAAAATCATGTCTGTTGTATGGGCCCACTTAAATATTTTTTTATTCTTAATTTTTTTTAGTATTTCTTGCTATAACGGCAACAGAAATACATCACCTGTGAAAACTGTCTATCACGGTACATGAGATACAGCCTGATGACAGACGGACAGACAGACTGACAGACAGACAACGGATTCTTAGTAATAGGGTCCCGTTTTACCATTTGGGTACGGAACACAAGGTGTTCCATTATACATAAATGTATACAGAATGTATATACAGAACGGTGTTACTTTCAACTTACGGTAGGTTCCTTGAATTTTGTAGCTATAGCTTCGATCTTCCACCAGCGAAGTATGTTGTATCAATGTGCGATTGGATGCAAAGTCCAACATTGGGCAATTTACAGCAAGCACGACATTGTCGCTTGATAGGTTAATACTGAAACGTGAAGTTGACCAGTGCCCAGTTAAAGAATTATCTATGGTTATCGATTTCGTCCAATTATTTATACTGAGTGATTCAATCCGTCGTCAGCAAAATACTTTGATTTGTTTTATTTTTATTTGTCATAACAACTGTGTTTTATATTTTGCTGTAATAAAAATATTTTTCATTTTCATTTTCATTTCAATGCTAAGAGGTTTTTTCTGCTGACGGCTCATGCATCTTGTGTTTGCGATATACCCTCAGTACATCCAGGAGTTACAATATAATTGATTTTGTCTCATAAGTTGTGTTCAATAAAGAAGTTACTGTATTTGTTTCATGAACAATTAAGCTTGTAATTTTTGAAGTGAAACTTCTTTATCGGGGTTGGAAAAAAATTTAGTGTAACATTTTTGCGTTACGCGCCATCTTGTTCTTAGTGGTTTTAATAGTTGACGCTAGATGGCGTTAGTTCTTTTTGTGTTCATAACAATATTATGTTATATTAAAGTGATCAGCAAAATCAAAGGGTTTATTTTAATTCTAATATGTAAACAATATATTTCGTATTTCAGTTACCATAAGCCATTAATAACACAAATATATGATAACGACATCAATGATAGTAATAATTCTATTACAATTAATGAAATTCAATAATAATATTTGTAGTAATGACAGTGCTAGCTCTAATACTTCAGAGCACGACACTGTAGAGACTTCCACTTCCTCTTCTCCAAAGGCAGGCACCGCCCACCGTGACCTGACTGCGCCTTCCACCGAAGACACAATCTGAAGCTGACCGATGATGCTCTTCGAAGCCTCGATCGGCTCCTGGAACTTGCGGTTGCGACGTCGATCCAACGTCCGCAAGTTCGGTTGTCCATAAAAACTTAACTCACACTCGCGCGCGAGTCGAATGTCTGTCTTCTACTCACTGGCTGACTATTCGGCAACGAAGGACCATGTACAAATTCAAAGCGGTTGGGTCCGTGAGGTTCATTGAAATAAACAAGGTTCACGTTGGAAGTTTTGTAATCAACAATTTTTGCGGACCCTCATACTAATTACAATGGTCAAACCATAGTGTGTTTTAATTTACTACTAACGCCACCTATGTATTACAAATAAGAAACTAATTATTATACAAAGCTAACTTTATCTAATTTAATTTATTTAACCAATTTGTGTAAAGTTGCATATACTTAATTATTTTTTGAAAAATAACGTCATAAATAAGTTTCACTTCTTACGAGTGTACGCTAGTACACGCACACATTTTTTTTTTATGTGAGAGGGTTGCCAGCCAGCAGGCTGTTCAAAGTATTAAGTGATAACCGCCACCCATAGACATTTGCAACATCCGTAGGGTTGCAGATGCGTTGCCACCGTAAAATAAATGGGCCCCGGCTACCTCACTCGTCAAACGAAACGCAGCACTAAGTATAACACTTCCACTTTTCGCCGGTCTTCTGTGAGGTCATAGTACTTACCCGGATAGACCTGCCCATTCGTGCAACAGCGAAGCCTTGGCCCTACCATAGTTAGTAAGTTAATAAAATATCGGATAAACGCTAGCTTCTATGGGGTCATTTTATTTCCCGGGCCTAGAAGTGGTTGCATTGCCATTGTTACAGTAAGGAAAAAGTGAAGTAAAGTAACAGCCTACACTTGTCCCACTGCTGGGAAAAGGCCTCCTCTATACAGAGGGTATCAGGGCATAGTCCACCACGCGGCCCCACTGCAGTTTGGCGGACTTCACATATCTTCGAAAAGGTTTCCTCACGATGTTTTCCTTCACCGCGGAGCACATTTGTTAAAAAAACTTCATTGGTGCCGGCACCGGGGATCGAACTGGAACTGGTGAGAAATTCAATGAGCAATGGCTGTGGAATGAGAAATTCTGATGTGGATAACTCATTAAAAGTCGAAAGGGTATACTCACTAAAACTCGGAGACCCTGCATTTATTCGAGTTGCTGATGACGAGGTTGCTGTCGATGTAGGTGGCGTTGAAGTACGGAGCGTCGAACCTGTATTGGTCCACCGTGTACCGTTCGGGGATGCGGCCGACGACGTTGGGGTTGCAGCGGGAGTTGCCAGCGAGGTTGCGACCGATACAGTTGAGGTCGGACAGCTGACAAGGCCGCACGATATCGGACGCTTTACACGATAAAACAATTAAACTATTTGGCAAATACTCATCATGCGTTGAAGACTTGATCAATGAAATATGCACATGTCATTTACGTATTCCTCATGAAATTAAACAGATATAAATATTTTATTTCGAGAGTAAAAGAATACCGCGGTGGCGGGATTTTAATACTGCTATGCTACTAATTTGGTTGTATTTGTTATTTAAACAGGGTTTGTTCCAGAAAAGGTCGGAAGGTCTGCTTAATAGTATATATCTAACTCACCTACTGCGCAGGACGTCGCCGTCAGCGCGAGAATCAAAAATATTGCCAACATTCTGTCAGCAGATAGCTGCCACGTCCGTAGCAATCGGTTACCCTGATTACTATTGAGTAATGGCACGACTCCACCGAAAATAATGCAATTACAAAATATTGTTTTCTAGAAACCCATGAAGAGAGATGTTAATTTGTTTGTACAACTGAACAAATCGATACATGCGTCGATGAGACGCGGCGATTGTCTTTTTTGTTTAGTGTTTTTAACGAGAATATCCTTGTTTACCGCTAAGAAGGATCGGCTAAGATAATTTGTCTGTTATTTAAAAAATTGTCCACGTGTATCATGCCTAAGAGAAAATAATTGAATCTTATTGGGCCACTCAAGACTTTTAACTCTCCGTTTAAACTTGTAAGTGGCCAAAAGGTAGTTGCAAAAGACTGGAGTAGAATCAGACGGTTCACCTGACATCATCTATAGATGCCTACAGCATCCACGGGTTTATAACTGCGTTACCAATCTTTTGTAGAGTGGACCCTAATCTTTTATACATAATGTGGACCTACGTCTTAACAAGATGAATGCAAAAACAACATCGCGAAACCAGACGCATTTCATCTATCAAAACAGAGCACATGTGTGCATTTAGTTGAACAATCGATTCGTTATAACAAAAGCGTCGTTAAATACATACAATCATTATTTCCAGTAAATATTAATATTCAATACAAAGGATGAGAAATACTTATGGCTATTCAAGGTAAAAAAAAAACTATTCTGCGGATTATTTGGATTTTTTTATTTGTATTTCGAGGACTTGCGGGTGTTAGTTTGTTTGATTTTCATTTAACAAATTCTACGGAGAACTAAATTTCACAGCAATATCGTTTACCCTGTTTAGGGTAATTGTATATATAGCTTCATATTGGGTATATTGCAGATACTGCTTTGAAATTTAATAATGAATAGTCCTTTAATTCAATTTCAAAGAGCCGTGATAGCTAAGTGTCCGGGCGCTCGCCTTAATTCAATATATACTCGAGCAACCTGAGTTCGATCCGCGGTGCCGGCACCAATGAAGTTTTTAACTTTAAGTGCCGAATTATCACGTGCTCCGCGGTGAAGGAAAACATCGTGAGGAAACCTGCATATTTTCGAAATAATAACAAAAAAAAAGTATTTCGAAGATATGTGAAGTCCGCCAATCCGCAGTGGGGCCGCGTGGTGGACTATGCCCTGATACCCTCTGTATAGAGGAGGCCTTTGCCCAGCAGTGGGACATGTATAGGCTGTTACTAATTCAATTTACTCGAGCAACCTGAGTTCGATCCCCGATACCTGCACCAATGAAGTTGTTAACTTTAATTGCTGACTTATCACGTGTTCAGCGGTAAAGGTAAACTGCATAAGTGAAGTCTGCCAATCCACAGTGTGGACTATGCCCTAATACCCTCTGTACAGTGGAGGCCCCTGCCCAGCAGTGCTATATATAAATATATAAATCCAATTGCAGGGTAAAAATAAAAGAATAAATTTAATATTATCATTTAATTTCATATCAGTTCATTCAGGCAGTCCGGTCCAGTTGCTGTGGGGTTGACGGGGAATCCGCCAACATGATGGATCGCGTCGATAGGGGCTGAACCCTAAGCATGGTCTACCACCATAACGGGGGTGGGACGTACTGGGGAGGCTGCCTGAAACATTAAAAAAGTCAATTAAACACCGCCTAGACACATCGATTCACAGAGCGCTCGTTTTTAATGGTAATTTATTTAAATTAAATATACACTAGTCGATTTGTAGACTAAAAATCGAATAAAAGTGATCTAGTTCAAGTCAATTACGGGCACTAATGATTGTACGTCCAGTGAAAGCAGACATCGTGAGCATATCTGCATAGATAAATGATTTATTTATAAAAAGACAATCTTTATTGATCTAATATTTACAAGATTAAATCTATCTAAAATTGCATATTATCTAATAAACCTAATCCACGCGGCATGGTGCCAAGAACGCTAGCTGCATTTCCTCGCTGAATAGTTATGCTTAACCTTTGAGCGAGAAAAGAACTAGCTCACTTGTCACCAGCCGCGGCGTTAAGCCTAGGACATAATTAATGATTTATTGTATTCCGGACACACTTTAACTACACCAATCCGATAAGTACTGTATATCAACTTTGGAACAAACATTTTTAGAAACCTTTTTCATGGATTACTTGGTTTATCAAACGCGTACAAATTGATCTTTCAATTCAGTATTTAGTACAGTACTCCAGGTTTCACGCGAAACGCACTGGGCTAAGAACAGTCTTCCTATTTCTGTGTAAAGGCTTATAAAAGTGAGTTCAGCCAATTGAAGGCACAAATTACGCGTCCAGGGCTAAAGTGAAATGAAAACACAGAACTTTATATACGGTACATTTGCTTAATTGAAAGGAACTTTTTCTTTTCACACAAGCATTCTAAAATGCTTTCCAATCTCCGTAGGGTTTTTTAATACCTTAAATTATAATTATTGCCTGATAATTGAATAAAAATCTTTCGGGGATTCAAACCTACGTCCTCTGATTTCGCGCTCAGACGTTTTAGCGGCTAAGCTAAGCGGCCGATTTAATACCTGTTGTGGTTTCCCGACATTCACGATGATCTGCACCAGAGGGCTAGAGGCGGTTGGCGGGGGGCTTGGCACGGGCGCCGGGTTTGGCACCTGCACGGGGTTTGGCACCGCCACTGGCAACACGGGAATCTCGGCTTCGACAGGCGCGATGGCGGCGGGGACTACCACGGCGATGGTGTCCTGCAGTACATATTATATTTGGTCAAAACACTGACCATAACATTCTCGAATAGAAATTCTGAGTGGTGAGCTTTTCACCGTAAGCCGAATACAATTCAGAGAGACAAGTTTTGTATGCAAAAGATCCGAAATCAGTCATCATCAGTCAACATACTCTTTTTTTTTTAATGTGAAAAGATGCCAAGCGAGCAGACGGTCCACCTGATGTTAAGAGAATACCGCCGCCCATGGACATCTGCTACGCCCGCGGGTGCCAGATGCGTTGACAACCTTTAGAAATTTGGGCTCCGGCCACCTCGCTCACCAGACGAAACGCGAAAGTATTAAACTTCCACTTTACGCCGGTCTTCTGTGAGTTCGTAGTACTTATATTCAGTCACCTTTATACTGTGGTAGAGGCATGCGGCAGCTTATACTGCAACACGGTGGGATCGTCGCTACCAGGACAACAGCACAGCCTTACAAAAGACCGGCATGGAATAGAAGTATTTTTAATCGATGGATTTTTTTTTATGCGACAAATTGTCAAACGAGCAGACGGTTCACCTGATGTTAAGTGAATACCGCCGCCCATGGACATCTGCCACACCCGAGGGTTACAGATGCGTTGACAACCTTTTGAAAATTGGGCTCCGGCTACCTCACTCACCGGACGAAACACGAAAGTATTTGTCATACTTCCACTTTACGCTGGTCTTCTGTGTGGTCGTGGTACTTACCCGGACGGGCCTGCCCATTCGTGCAACAAAATTGGATTGGTTCCTTATATTCACCGAAGCTAATAAATTTCTCCAATAATCGCTGATTTTGTGCTGGTGTTTATAACTTTAGCTGGGCCGCTTTATAGTTTGCCACGTCCGATACAATTAATTGGCAAATAGGTACGCCACTGACCATTTGCTGTCCAGATTCGAGAGCTTGCATAATGTCGTTGAGGGCTTGCTCCAAGTAGGGAACCAGAGCGGGGTTCGTCGCAGGGTTTTCGAGAGCCGAGTTAAGCTCCTGCAGCGTCCAGGTGCTCACTGCCGGCACCGCAACCTGCACAGCTTCCTGTAAATAATAATAATAATAAATAATTTAGGACACCTTTTTACACAAAGTTTTCTAGTCCCAAACTAAGCAACTCTTGTACTATGGGTACTAGATAACTGATAAACATACTTAAACATACTTTTCTTTTGTAAATAAATACATATTATACACATATAAACACCCAGACAATAGAAAGACACTATGTTCACCACACAATATTTTTCCAGTAGTGGGGATCGAACCCACACCTTCTGGCGCAGGAGGCAGGTACACTACCCACTACGCCATTCAGGTCGTCACAGAGGAACCTCCGAAATAAGGTCACAATGAAGGAACTATTACAATCATGCTAATCATCATCCTCCTGCCATGTTGGTTCAGTACATCATGTGACTTCCAGCAAACCCACATACATTACAACATGCGTTGTGGCGTCGAACTGTTATGTGGGATTCCAAAAATCACTTTTTAAAAAGGCTATTTTTTAATTAACGAAAAACAAAACCGACTTCAAATATCTCGCTCTGTATTCATTTTATAATTGATTTTCAGCATTTCTCTAAGTATCTACGCAGCCCATATATTTTTTTAATTACAAAATACATGATTTACCAAAAGAAAAGTCCTCCAGGCACTATCAAATTAAATTCTAAGAATATTCTGCGTGGTTTCAGTACATGAATAATATTTCATTTGTAGTAGGGCCACGCAAGTCTTCGCTGTTGCAAGAATGGGCAGGTCGGTCCGGGTAAGTACTACGACCTCACAGAAGACCAGATTAAAAGTAGAAATGTTACACTTCTGCGTTTCGTCTGGTGAGTGAGTTAGCCGGGGCTCACTTTATATAAAGGTGGCATCGCATTTGCAAACCCACGGGTGCTGCAAATGTCCGTGGGCGGCGGTCATCACTTAACATCACGAGAACCGCCAGATCGTCTGCCACTTTCTCACATAAAAAAAAAAAACAAAGTTATTATTATACAGCGTGTCTTTACAATCGCAACAATAAATGAACACACATATAGGGGATAACTTTTTAAAATTGTATTAAACATTTACCTTTTTTAAACATCAATATTTACAGAGTTATTTAATTTTCCACAATAAAGAATTTTAGAACAGCCTTACGTATAAAACTGTAACGTAAAGTTCATTTGTAAAGGTCACAAAGCATATGAATGGGTTTGAATGAATTTAAAAGAGACAAAACATACTGTTAGAAGGAGATGCTTGTAATGTCGACGCTATGGCGCGAGTTGTATAAGGATGTTAAAATTTTTGTTTCTTTTTTACTTAATTAGTTTGTTTGAAAAATATTCTTTTTTAATTATGGATTTTGTTTACCGTTAATATTTTTTTATGATTATTGGCAAGTAGCGTTAGACGAGTGTTCATTTATTGTCGCGATGGTAACGACACGCTGTACAAGACCTTACCGGCGGGTATCCGGCGTAGATAGCGTCCATCATTTCATTGAGGGCGTGCTCCAGGAACGGGATGAGAGCTGGGTTGGTGCTGGGGTCCTGCAGGGCCGCAGAGACCTCATTCACCGTCCAGGATGTTTGGGCGCCCATGGCCACAGCCAGGACGGCGGCGAAAATTGCGATCACTTTCATTTTCGTTTGCTGCCAAGAATTCGATTATTATGTCCCGGTCTATTTGATAGTTTTCATTGGTTTTTCTACTTATATGTCAATTGTTATTCAATCTCCGATGTCAACTGTATACGGGAATAAGGTGGTTATACAACGTTGTGATTCCATTAAACTTACCTGGTCTTGTAGAGAAGTCCTAATGGTTTTGCATTTCGCTGACTTTGTATTTATACGAGTGATGAAAGATAAACTCCCCCCAGTGTTATTGTGTGAGGATTAGTGATTTCGTCACATTTACAACCGGTCGCCAATGTGCCATCGTAAATTTCCATTAATAACCGTCAAATACAAATAGATGTTATCAAGATAAAATTCGTCTGCAAGATATGATACTAGTAAGTTAGCAATTATCAATCACTCAATTATTTCTTTAATTTCGTTCTTCCCTAATATCGGCAGGGCAACAGGAACGCTTTCGCACCCTTCCGTGACCCCGCCGGCTGCAAGACCCTAGCCGAATAGTATGGGGTTAATTCGGACTCGCACCGGCTAAAAGCTCCACAATGTTCCACCAGGGCACAAATTGATAGGGTTACGGGAGGGTTTTCGCACTATTCGATATACCAACAGTCAATTAGAAATTTGGGTCCCTAAGGGCTTAGGGACCCAAATTTCTAATGCTTTATCATAGTCCACATATGCCAGGCATAATGGCAAAAATCTGTCGCAGTGTGTATTTGGTCTATGGTACTGAAATCTTTTCGGACTTGGCTTTTTTTTGAGGTCGGAAGCGAGGCGATTCGAGATGACTCTTCGAGAGCAGAACATAGACGCGGCTCAAAAGGGATATCGGTCTAAAGTTCTTCAAGATTGAAGAGCGTTATTGCCTTTTTCTATGAACAGCACCGCCACTCTTCTGTTCTATATCTCCGGCGTTGAAGCATCTTAAAGGGCGGAATTAAAGAGCCTCTGAAGGACCGCTCGTGCCGGTTTTAGAATGCTTGGCTACAATTCCATTCTCTCTTGGTTCTTAACCGTTCTTCAATTGGTCAAGAACCATTCTCATCTCGCCCACACTCAGCTGGATATTTGCGAAATAGTGGCGGGCAAGCTTCGCTCTTGGATCGTTAGTCATACCTGAGTATGGCTCATAAACGATGTGTACAGCTGTCTATAGAACCTCTCTCTCTATAGAACCCCAACCTCTATAGAACCTCAATCTCAATAAGTCGAAAGACGAACTTTTTATAGTAGCTTTAAGCAAACTACAAAATTCCCGCCAATTTGATAAGTGTTGCGTACCGCAGAACAAACAAGTGCTTAGCTTTGGAATTTTTGGTACAAACGCATTCATATATAATTAAAATCAATATGTCCCACAGCTGGGCAAAGACCTTTATTGTACAGAGGATATTAAGGCATAGTCCACCATACGGCCCCGCTGCGGATTGGCGGATTTAATATTTCTCCGAAATTTTGATATTGTAGTGCATATTTCGAAAATATGCACTACAATATCACCGCATGATAAGCCAGCACTTAAAATTAACAATTTCATCGGTGCCTGGCCCCGGGGATCAAATTCAGGTTGCTCGAGTATATGGAATTAAAAGCGAGAGTCCGGAATGAGCTATCACGGCATGAACGAAAAGTTACCTTAAATTAAATTAAAGGGAATAGACTTGAATTAAGTCTTTCATTTCATAAAGTTTGGTAGGTTGATTTAGCAGCTTCTGCTATAGCATGAATGGGTAGTTTCATCCGGGAAAGTACCACAGCTTGAGCTTGACAATGTTTGACGACTCCGTGGTGCATTTGCCAAGTATTGGCTTCGGCGCCGGAGGTCGTCGTGGGTTCGATCCCCACACGGGACAACTATTTGTTTGACCCACAGATAGTTGTATCGCATTGTTGTTTGTCCACGTGAAATTTGTCTTTGTAAAACGTTCATACAACACAGGCAATGTTTTTTTAAAGATAATAAAAATAATGTCTTTAAAACAATATTCGCGAGAAGACATTTGATCTTTACGATGTATAGATAGATACATATTAATTGTGATTTTCTCCAATGATTCTACAAAAAGATTAAGCTATATCGTCTTAATGTTGAGTTTAGTTTTCAATAATGTAAAAAGATCTTTGCATAACATTAACATAGAAACACTCATTATTTTCTCGTATCTCAACGAATTTGCGTGTAGGTAGCACGGATTAAGATTAGCGAAACCGTTAGTTTCCATCAAAGGATGTCATGATTTTTTATACGATTAAATTTATCTTTATTATAGCAATATAAGTTTCAAGTTTATCGATGTTTGTTTACTTATTTACATAAAATACATCAATATGATAAACGAAAACAATGCACTTTCATCTTAAAACCTTATAAAACCTCATTATAAAGGTAATATAGGACGTAGTTCTTATAGTATATGTAGTGATTCTTGTATGTAAGTATAGTATTTATGGGTTTCATCTCTTACTATTATCAAATTTTCAACATGAAGAATAATTAACTTGAAATCTCTTAAGAGTCCTAAATGTAAATATGAAGTCATTCCAGTACTTTCAGTTTATTAATGACAAACATGTTAAATTTCTAATGTTCATAATCGAACCGAACCGAACCGCTACAAATTGATACTAATTTTCTTTTTTCAAAACAGATCAAACTGTTATTATGAAACAAAACTTTGAAGAAGTTTTTTAACAATATTCCTTTTTGTTACAAGCGTTTTTTTTTTCGTTGCAATGTATTTGTAATAACGGTTTAGGTCTTGTAGATATAAGTAATTATTATTTTAAATGGCTCCATAATGTAACATGAACATACAAGTTAAATGATTGCCAACAACAATACATTCGGATGTAAACTCCGCTTTTGACTTTGCTACAAGCGAAAATGTATTGATTTCCGTCACGTAAACAAAGATGCCATAAATTAAACGATCAAGGAGAGTAATAAAATATCCTGTGTTAAATTGTCAAGATATATTAACTGGGTACCAGTAATTCAATAAAGATATAATTGACTTATAATCTTGTTTATTATTTTAATCCGCCCTTTTGATAGTATTTTAATCAGTTACGTTTCTTATAATAGTTGGCAAAATGGTAAATGGCATCGGTACACGCATTCGCAAGTTGCCAAGAGATATCACAATATCGGAGATGCGTCTATACGTTGTTGCAAAATCAAAATCAAATGTCTTTATTCAACATAGGAGCATTACACTCGCTTATTGATAGTCAAAACACTACCACCGGTTCGGAAAAGAAAGCCACTGTACTGAGAAGAACCGGCGAAAGAAACTCAACGGATTTTTTTTTAAATAAGCATGTGTAAGTTTGACATGAATTCATTAAAAAATACAATATAAGAACTCTGATTGAAAGTGCCTGGAGCGATCAGTTCATTACCAGAGTGTGTTATCATTTAAATAATCATTAATATTATAGTAGCCTTTAATACACAAACGTTCTTATACTATTTTTTTTTTAATTTAGCTATTGATGCATTTTGAACGTTTTATGGAATTTTGTTGTAGTGACGTATACATTGTCCCATAAAAGATTTACTTATTTTACGCAGTCTACTTGTGGGTAGGATCAATTTATTTATGTTCCTAGTATTTATAACATGAACATTATTGTCTTGAAAATTTATCCTTAGTTTTATGGACATACACAACATTTTCAAAAATGTATTGAGAAGCAACAGTCAATACCTTTATCTCTTTAAACAGTTGGCCTAAATTCCTCTAACCAAGTGTCGTACATACATATGAAAATATTGAAATGTGACTAACATTTCTCAGAATTTTAGAAACCTAGAACAGAAAACTATAATGCCGAGCAACGTTTTAATAAAAATGACCCCTATATATAAAGCGCGACGTTCTTCTTCTTCTTCTTTTCTTTTTTGGCGGTTTTCAATGAATACGCCAATGAACACTTCTGGTTGTTTATTTTTGCCTAACTTTTATAATGAAATGATGAAGAGAATGATTTTATGAATGTTAAATATGTATATTTTTATATATAGAATATCTAAACTAATTTACATAATTATAGCAATTACCTAGAACAAAGAAAATAAGATTGTAATTATTATGCTAAGTTCACAACTTAATACTACAACTATTAATAAAATTACACAAGATATAAACAAAGTGATATTAGATGGACGAGGGATGCTAGAAGGAAGATGATCATGGAAGGAACCTGGAATTCTGGGACAGTTGAAAAATATATGATCAGGTGAATCATCATCTAGGCCACATTCACAGATGGAACTATCTTTTATTCTTAATTTGGCAAGATGAACATTAGTGCAGACATGCCCTAGTCTAAGTCTGCAGACAAAAAGCGCGACGTTTAAAATTGTTCCGCTACATTATATGACATACCTATATAAGTGAATGCGACAGATGATGTAAAAAGTAAGATACGGATATTATAGTAGTCTATAGAATTGCAAATTAATTACATCAATTGGTGTGATTAGCGTACTTTGTATGCATCAGTTTTGGTGCGTTATCGTCATATCTACCTCATACTTGTAGATATTATCGTTGATGCTGAAGTTGTGAATTGACAATTAGCGCCAATCCGCATCGATAATTAAAAAGAATAATAGGTGTTTATCTATATATTACGTGAAGCAAAAACTTTGTACCCATTTTTACGAAAATTGCGCAGATTAAATAAAGGAGTGCAGAAATTTTATTTATGTATAAAAAATACACTTAACTAATATAGAAAACATTACACACACGACCATATATTTGACATGCACATATATACTATTTAGTTTATTGTATTTGAGAATAGATTTCAAATTGTTAATTTAAATTAATTATGGTCGAATTTCGACCACTATGCGTCCACCAGTGATTATTATACTTATATTTTTTTATACATTTTAGTGGTACTGTTCAAAACTAGTTTCATATTATCCTGTAACAAAATTTTAGTACGTACGCTTAATAACGTATGCCAAATCGTCGTCTTTCAGT